CGCTGGCTCCTCGGCGGCGGCCGGCGCGTGTGCGGAGAGCGTTGGGCGCGCGGAGCCCGGGTCGGCGGCGGCGGCGGCGGAGGGAGCCCGCGGGCCGGGCTTCCCCTCCCGGGGCGGGGGCCGCCCCGAATCAATGGGCTGTGCTCGGCCAGCGCCGGATCGGGGGTTCCGGGTCGGCCCCACTCGAAGTCCACGGGCCCGCGGGGGAGGGGCGGCGCCGCTTTGCAGGGCGCCCAGAAACCCGGACCCTGGCGGGAACCATGTGGCTTGTTGTGGTTGGAGGCTGAGGCGCGAGCGGAGACGTGATGGGCTCAACTTGAGAACGCGCCTTCTGAGGCACCGGGAGACCTGGCTGTGGACGAGGGGACTCGCATCAGTCCCCAGGGCGCGCTCCGGCCTCGACTCTACCTGGGGACTCAGGATTAAAGAATCCTTGGACGTTTACATCTGATTTTGCTGAAGTTCGGTTTGGGTCGCAAGCAACGGGAAGACTACGCGAAGACTGTGCATTCGATCCATGACAGCAAAGGGGAGGGGAAAATAAGCTCTGAACTAAAAATGAAGCTGCTAGTAAGAGTCGAACGTTAATCTGCCAGTGCAGAAGGGAGAATCGGAATATCCCTCAGTTGAGGCTGTTTGATTTTTTTTTTTTTTAATTTGTTGATTTGATATGGTCTTCGATCGGAGTTTGCTAACCTAATCCAGAGGGATAGCAATGAGTTTTGAAATACAAGGTATGGTTTTCTCACCACCCTTCCACCCGTTGTTGTACTTCAAACGCTTTGAAAAAAAGAACAAACAACGGGGTTAGTGGGAAGCAGAAAATTTTGGTGATGACGGGGAAATATGCCATTTTAGAAAATTCAGCCTCAAAAACATAACAGTAAATTGAAGGGGACTTGTCAGTGTGTTGGTGCCGTTGCTAGTGTCAGTGTTTCTGTAACACTTGCTTCAGGCTTTCTCATCTTTCAGATCAGCAGCTGGGAACAGCTGTACAGTGTTTGCTAGAGAATGAGAGAAACCTGTTGATTCTGAAGCGTTTGGGCCTGCTGCTTTAAAGGTGTTTCACATTTTCCAAATTACACTCTTATTTTTCTTTCAACAGGAAGGAGTCAAGACTGAGAACAACGATCATATTAATTTGAAGGTGGCGGGGCAGGATGGTTCTGTGGTGCAGTTTAAGATTAAGAGGCATACACCACTTAGTAAACTAATGAAAGCCTATTGTGAACGACAGGTGAGGAATTGATGAATGCACTTCGCTTAATCCATTTGTACAACTGAATTAGGAGCAGAAAATAAACTCACAGTTTTGTCATGACTATTTTTGGTAAGGTGAATGTGATGGTGTGCTTTGCTGGTAGGTAGGTTTATTATTATCTTTCTAGTGCCAAACCACAAACACCTCTTTAGTCTCCTCTACCAGTTCCCAAGGAGATTTAAAAAAAAAAAAAGTGAAAAATTTTTTTTCTTTTACTATTTAGGCATTGCCTTCTGTCAAAACATTTGAGAAATCTTCTAGATGTGATGGCCAACACCTTTATTCCCAGCACTGGAGGCAGAGGCAAGCGGATCTCTTGAGTTCCATGCCAGCCTGGTCTACAGGACAGCCAAGGCTATACAGAGAAACCCTGTCTAAAAAAAAGAGAGCATTTTAACCAATTTGAATTTGTGGTATTACAGTGTTTCTGAACCATGTAGATTCTAGCCTTCATTTCCCCCCCACCCCCACCCCATAATAAAAAAGGTTATAATGTAGATGGGCCCAGTGGCATGTGCCTGTAATCCCAGTGCTCAGGAAGGCAGAGGTGGATGGATCTCTGTGAGTTAGAATGTCAACCAGGTCTACAAAGTGAGTCCAGGACAGCTAAGGCTACATAAAGAAACACTATCTCGAAAAACCAATTTAAAGAAAGAAAAAGGTCATAATTTTTGTATGTTTTGGGGATTGAAGCCAGATCCATGTACCCGAAGCCATTAGATTTCCTACTCGGCTCCTGAGGGTATAAAGATTTAATTCTTTTGAGTAAAGCATGAACACTTAATATTTTACACATTTATATTTCTATATTAAATAAGAAATTTGTTATATAGGTGTCAAGAAGAAATAGTTCTCTTTGAGTGTTGGGGTTTTTTGTTTGTTTGTTTCTTCTGAAACAGGGTCTTCCTGTGTAGCCCTGGCAGCCTAGAACATACCCTGTAGATTAGACTGACCTCAAACTCAGGCAGTCCTTCAGCCTTTTCCTCATCGATGGGGTAGCAAGCCAGGCTCATTCTCTTGATTTGGACAAATGTTGGAGAGTCAGTGCAAGTTTTACTAGTGCTTCCCTTTGGAATGCTAAGTCAGTACAGCAAGGGCAACTTTAAAGATGACAGCTCTATTTCCCACACTTTGTTCATCAGCTGTAATAATGGCAGAAGTAGCCGGGCACAGTGGCACATGGAATTCCAGTACCCAGGGAGGTAGAGGCAGGTGGATCTCTGAGTTTGAGGCCACACTGGCCTTCTAGAACAGCCAGAGCTATGCAGAGAAACCTGTCTCCAAAAACAAAACAAAGTTAACAGAATTTGGGACAGGGGGGCCTTTTTGAGGTGGCTTTGCAAACCTGATTGTATTCATTTCCCGAAACCCACAGTAAAGGGAGAGAACCACTGCCTTTTTTTTTTTTTTTTTTTTTAATTTTATGCGTTAGTGGTTTTGCGTGCATGTGTTTGTTATGAGGATGTCAGATCCCCTGTATCGTATTACACAGGCATTGTGAGTTGCTGTGGGGGTGCTGGGAATTGAACCCAGGTCCTAGGAAGAGCAGCCAGTGCTTTTAACCACTGAGCCATCTCCAGCCACGAGAACCAGTGACTTCTAAGAGTTGGCTTTGTCCTGGGATCTACTCCATGCTGGTACTGTGGCACATGTGCAGCCCCACATAGAACAGAGTAGCGGAGTCTCACATGCTAGGCAAGCATTCTACTGTTCTGTTTCCCAGCACTCACAATGCCCCCCCCCCCCCCCACACACACACACTCAGTAGGTAGAAGTCTTTAAAAGGGGGATTATCAGGCTTAGGAATAGACATGGTAAAGTAGTAGAGCATTTCCCCACCATGGGGAGACCCGGAGCTTAGTCCCTTGTAAGAAGTAGTTGGGAGTGCGGTTATTATCTGGTATCTACCATTGAAAGTTCATCACCCACAGGTTTCTAGGGGAAATCCAATTTTCTAAAGTCTTTATTGTATATTTTCATTTCATTTGTTGAGGGTAGTTCTCTCAGCCCCCATCTGACCTTAACTGTATATGGCCTTGAATTTCTGAAAGTCCTGTGTCTAGGAGTATAGGTGTACTTCACACAGTTTTTGTGATGCTAGGGATCAAATCTAAGATAAAATTCCTACAAAGTGATCTTGTATCTCCAGCACAAATTTGATAGTTTTTATTATCTTGATACATTATCTAAAATTTCCGTAATTCTACTTAAATGGTTGTTTTAAAATATTATGAAAGCTTCAAATACTAGGTATTAGAAAAGTAGTGCAAGATGTGTTAACACAGCCTGTAATATAATTTTCAGTATTCAAGAGGCTGAAGCAGGAGAATCTTGAACATCAAGGCTAGTCCAGGCTATATAGAAAGGCTCTGTCTGATAAAAAGGGAAGCAGAAGAAACTGGGTATGGTGGCTCACTCTTGTAATCCTAGCACCTGGGAGGATGAAGTGTTAGAATTAAAAGTCATCCTGTATTGGCATAGTTTTCTAAATCTATTTATATATCTTTTATCTTTTTTCTCCGTACTCCACCCCAGTCCCTTCCAGTACCAGGTAGGAGAGAGAAAGGGTTAGTGGGAGAGGAGGCCTAGTTCTCTTTAGTTGCTTCCTGCTGGTTAGGGTCATTGGGTTCCTTAGAGCCAATCCTATACTTGTTTCAGGAGATCTCCAACTTTTCTCACAACAGCAACCAGGAGCAGCAAGAGCAGTCTGGTTCTTTCTCTGAGCTCTATACTCTGGGCTCTGGCATTTATTCTCTTTCCAGAGTCCTCAGATTCAAACTATTGGCAGCCAGCAAAGAGCTCCTTAGAGCCCATATGAGGCTAATAGTCTACTGCTGTGGACCATCTGCACCATTCCCACATCTGGGACCAAAACAGAAACATGTTTCTATCCACAACAATCCTGGGCCGGGTGGGAATAGCACAGTCATCCCAGCACTCAGGACCCAGAGGCAGGTGGATCTGAGTTTGAGGCCAACCTGCTGCTCTACAGAGTGAGTTCCAGGATAGCCAGGCCTACACAGAGAAATCTTGTCTTGAAAAACCTCAGTCTTACTTTTTTTAATAGAGGTTTAATAGAATTATTATACCTAAATTATTATTATTATTTTTTTTTTTTGTAGTGCTGGGTCTTGAACCCAAGGTCTCATGCATGCTGGTCTATCACTTTAGTTTTCACAAGAATCTTAATTACTTGTACATTTAAAAAAACAAAACAAAATTAGGCTGGGTGTGGTGGCACATGTCTTTAATCCTAGCACTCTGGAGCCAGAGGCAGGTGAGTGAGTCTCTATGAGTTCAAGGCCAGCCTGGTCTACACACAAACCCTGTCTCAATAAACCAAAAACTTAAGTTCTGTTCCTGTTAAGTGTGTAAATATAAATGCCAGGTTTAGGGGAAAAAAAAAAAGAAAAAGATTCTTAACTTTCATGTGGTTTTTCAATTAAGAGGGATTTATAGGAATCACATAACTGACTCCTTAAGAGTTAGGTGTCAGGGCTGGAGAGATAGCTCATTGGTTAAAAGGTGGCTGCTCTTCCAAAGTACCTGGGTTTAATTCCCAGGACTATATGTTGGCTTACAACTCTTAACGCCAATAGAAGATCAGATCATTAAAAACAGTGAGGGATGGCACTAGAGTCTGTTGGTAGAGTTGCCTGATAATTCACAAAGCCTGGGTTTGACCTCTAGCACTGAGTAAATTTGGCCCCACACTAGAGAAGTAGAAACAGGATTAGGAAGCAAGATGTCATTCTCTACTGAGTTTGAGGGCCACCTCAGACCTGGCTTCCAAACCATGAAATAGGTGCATGCTGTCAAAAGACTTATTTGGGTTGATGGAGATAAAATGTGATGGTAGACTGCCTAGCAGACATGAAACCTTGGGTTCAATTCCTACCACCAAAAAACCAACATACAAATGAGTTGTAGGTCAGCTTAGTTTTAATATTAGGTTCCAGGACAACCAAGGTTTTTGTCTTTTTGTTTTATATTTTAGTTTGCTTTTTAATGCTCAGGAGTTTCTGGGTTCATGTTGCAGTGAATTAATTTTCATCTTTTCTTTCCAGACTATCCATCCCATCAGACCCCAGACTTGTCCATCCCAGTTTCCACCCTGCCTGCCTTCATTACTTTTTTTGAGACAGGGTTTCTCTGTGTAACAGCCTAGACTGTCATGGAGCTGGCTCTGTAGCCCAGGCTGTCCTCGAAGTAGATCCATCTGCCTCCTTAGTGCTGGGACTAGTAAAGGTGTGTGCCCTTTCCCGAATCTGTGAAACTTTTTTTTACAAAGGGGGGAGTTGGGTCTGATAGTATACATCTCAAGAGTATATGTAGAGAGAGTTCCAAGGCTTCCTAGGCCCTTAACAACAAATTTGTTTTCAAAAGGCGTGTGTGCAGTCATGTACTGCATGCCACACTTAGAATCAGGACACCTCGGTAGAGTTCCATCTCTCCTCCTCATGACTCCTCAGGGAGTCAGACTCAGATCATAAGGCTTGGTAGCCTTTAGGCTCTAAACTATCTCCTACCTCTCCCTCTTATGTGTTCATGTGTTTTAACTAGTGTGTGTGTGTGATGTTGGGAGGCTGAAGAAAGTATTTTTGGAGCCAATACTTTGTTTTTTGAGATAGGATTTCTCTGTATAGGCCTAGCTGTCCTCAAATTCTATAGACCAGATTGGCCTCAAACAAAGAGATTTGGCTGCCTCTGCCTCTCCAGTGCTAGACTAAAGGTATGCCACCATGCCTCCAGCTTGGAGTCAGTTCATTCCATCCACCTTAGGTGAGTCCAGGGATTGAATGTGGATTGCCAGGCTTCCATGGCAAGACCTATACCTACTGAGTCGTACTGCCTGTCCAGACTTTGTATTTATACCTCTAGGAATCACTGGAGTCCCCATTCAGTAACTGTTGAAGCCAAAACATTGGAATTGTTGGATCTATCAGCAGATACTGATCTGTACTTATGACCTTTGTTGATACTAGCCAGAAGCCATACGACACATTGATCACAAATAACGAATGTTTATATGCATAGAAAATGTTAGCATATATTGGTGATCCATATAAAAAACCTCAAAATCGTAGGGTTACATATATTCATTTGTAGGGTTTTGTTTGGGTTGTTTGGTGGTTGGTTTTTCAAGACAATTTCTTTGGTGTAGCCTTTGGCTGTCCTGGACTCACTTTGTAGGCCATGCTGGCCTCGAACTCACAGTGATCTGCCTGCCTCTGCCTCAGGAAAGGTGTGTAGCAACGCTGCCCAGGGAAGATTTATTTATATGAATTTTTGTTCTGTGTGTGTGCCTGTATTTCAGAAGGAGGGATCAGATTCCATTAGAGATAGTTGTGAGCCATCTTATGGTTGCTGATAGTTGAACTCAAGACGTCTGGAAGAACAGCCAGTGTTCCTAACCACTGAGCCATCTCTCCAGCCCCTATTTATAGTTCTATCAAAATGGAATTTTTATCCATCCTGATCCATATGGTAGGACAGCCAAAGCTACATAGTGAGACCCTGTCTCTAAGAAAAAGTATTTCCAACGATTATGTACTGTTTGCTTTTAATCTCTTGTTAGGGTTTGTCAATGAGGCAGATCAGATTCCGGTTTGATGGGCAACCAATCAATGAAACAGACACACCTGCACAGGTAAAAATCTCTGTACTTTTAGGAAAATTGTGTTTTATATGTGTTCGTGTGTTTTTATGCTTGGGCCTGTGTGTGCAGAGGCCAGTGAGGACATCAGGTGTCTGCTGTATTGTTCTAAGCTTTAATCCCGTGAAACTGGGTCTCTCCCTGAACCTGGAGGTTGGCTGCATTCGCCCCCTTCTCATCCTCCCACATCTGCTGCCCATGGTGCTGGCATACATCTTTTAACATGGATGCTGGGGATTCAAATGCTTAGCATTCTCTTTCTCTTCTCTCTCCCTGAAACAGGGTTTCTCTGTGTAGCCCTGGCTGTCCTCAAACTCAGCTATAATTTTTATTTAGTTTCATTTTATGTGCATTGGTATGTAAGTAACAGCTCCCTTGGAGCTGGAGTTAACAGTTGTGAGCTGCCATGTGGGTGGTGCTAGGACATGAACTCAGGTCCTTCGGAAGAGCACATAGTGTTCTTAACTACTGAGCCATCTCTCCAGACAGCAAATGCTCAGCTTTTTATGTTAGTACAGGGTCCAGTCGCAGGTCCTTATACTTGGGAAGATCCACTAGTATATCCAGCCTTGTGGGTTTTTTGTTTGTTTTTTCAAGACAGGATTTCTCCATATAGCTTTTGGCTGCCCTTGAACTCTATAGACTAGGCTGGCCTAGAACTCAAAGATCATCCTACCTCCTTCCAAGTGCTAGGATTATTATTTTTTTTTTTTTAATTTTGATTAGTTATGTATATGGTGCTCTGCCTGCATGTATGCGTACACGCCAGAAAGGGGCACTCATTATAGGTGGTTATGAGCCACTGTGTGGTTGCTGGGAATTGAACTCAGGACCTTTGGAAGAGAAAGCCATCTCTCCAGGCCCACCCTCAACGCATCTTTTTGTTTTGTTTTTAAGACAGGGCTTCTCTGTGTAGCCTTGGCTGTCCTTCATCAGTCTAGCCTTCAACTCACAGAGGCAGGCAGATAGATCTGAGTTCTGAGGTCAGCCATGGCTACACAGAGAAACTCTGTCTCAAAAAAAAAGAAAAAGTTGTTGAAATGAAAGCTTTGTTTTTCTAGACTGTAAATTTTGTTGTTCACTTTGTTCTTTGTTACTGTAGTACTTATTCACCTTAGAATTATCAGGCCTAGAAGAGTTCTTCACAGGTAGCTGGCTGTTGAGCCTGACTGTTTTAGTTTCTGTATAAAAGTGATTTTTTAAAAATCTGTTGTGATACTTTTGGCTTTCATCTATTCTTGGCTCAGTCTGCCTACTCTGTTGCTCTTGCTAGCTGGGTTTGACTCTGCATATGTAGGTGACTCTTTGTAGACTTTGGCAGTGCTCTAATTTCTTTGACCTAGCACTGAGGTTTTTGGTTTTTGCTTTTTTTCCCTATAATTCTGCAATATATGGTTATCTCTGTCTGAAGCATTTGTATCCTTTCCCACTAAAACTTCCATTTAAGACTGGAAAAAATTTGATTCACTGAATTTTATTTTTTTTCTCTTGAGAAATACATTTTTTTTCCTCTCTCTCTTTTAGCCCGGCTTTTCTAGAATTCACTCTGTAAACCAGGCTCGCCTCAAACTCAAGATCTGCCCACTTCTGCCTCCCTAAGTGCAGGGATTAAAGGCATGGGCCATTGCCACATGGTCTTTTATTTTTGTTTTGGTTTGTTTTTGGCTTTTGTAGTGATTGTCCCCGTGCCTCCTGAAATTTACAGGAGCATACAACCAAGGTTGGCCTTTTTTTTGAGCCATATGTGTTTCCTAAGCTATCCTTGAATACTGAGCAGGCCTCCTGGATTACAAAATTTGAGCCATTGCTTGATTTGAATTTCAGCTTTAACTCTCCAGTAAAAACTGGAGGGGAGCTGGGCATGATGGCTTACACCTTAATTTAATCTTAGCACTCAGGAGGTAGAGAAGTTGGATCTCTTGAGTTCCAGGCCAGTCTGGTCTGCATAGTGATTTTTGGGACAGCCAGAGCTAGACAGTGAGATGCTATTTCAACCTGTTCCCACTCCCCAGAAAGGAAGAAAAAAAGAAAACTGGAGGGGAGTGGTCGGGAGCTATGGCTCAGTGGTTTTAAAAAGTATACTCTTGCACAGGAGGCTCACAACCTTCTGTAGTTCCAGTTGTGTGATCTGTCTGTCTTCTGTGTACAGTGGACACCAAGCTCACTTGTAGTGTGCTAAACTCACGTATAAAAGGTAGGAGGGCTCTTGGCTTAGCAGTTAAAGAGCCCTGGCTGTTCTTTAAGAGGACCCAGGTTCCTTTCTTAGTACCCACACAGTTGCTCAACAATCCTCTGGAACTCCAGTATACAAATAATGGTGTACATGCATACATGCTGACAAAATATTCTGACCTGGCTATGATGGCAAACGCCTATCCCAGCACTTGTGAAGCAGATGTAGGCAAATCTCTGAGGCTAACCTGATCTACACAGGGAGTTCTAGGATATCCAGAGCTGCCCAGGAGTCTTGGGTTGTTTTTTTTTTTTTTTTTTCCTTAACTTAATTTCTATACAGTGTTGTCTTAAGTGTTAAGACCTTACTCTCATTGTGATTGTTTTATATGAAATGGCTAATGAACCTTGAAATTGCAAAATTTGAAATTGGCTTTATTAAACAGGTAAAGCAATTTAAAACTTTACTTTGAGTTGGTCATGGTAGCATATACCTTTAATCTCAATATTTGGGATGCAAAGGCATATGGATCTGTGTGATTTTGAGGCCAGCCTGGTCTGCAAAGCAAGTCTAGGACAGCCAGGGCTATACAGAGAAACCCTGTGTCCAAAAAAAAAAAAAAGTCTGTGAAAGTCTGTGTATAAATGTACATGTGCCTCTATACATAAATCTGTACAAATACAGATGCAGTAATCCTGTTTAGTACTGCGTGGCTTGGGTGCTGGTTTTGAGATGGCTCACTGCATCTCTGACTGTCCTGGAACCGTGACTGGCATCCCAGTCACAGAAGTGTTCCACTCTGCCTGCCTGCTGCATAATTTAAAAGTGGTGATTTTTAGCATAACGCCTGTTTTTTGTTGTTATTGTTTTGAGGATGTATAGCCGACATGTTATTTCCTAAGAGCATTGTGCCTTATTTAAAATTTTTATATTATATTTTATACTTACCAATCGTGTTTTTTCATTTGTTTTTTTTTTTTTTGTGTGTGTGTTGTTTTGGAAGACTGGGTATCACCTGTTGTAGTCTAGGCTGGTGTCAGAATCCAGAGTCCCAGTCATGGAGTGCTGAGATTACAAGTGTGTGGTGTGTGCAGCCCTGTGTTTAATAATTAGGCTAATCAAAACTTTGTTTAAACCCCCAGTATGTGGCAGACTGAGGCAGGATTGCGGGTGTTTGAGACCAGCCTGTGGCTGGCACCACATTCCTTTTTCTTGAGCTCCATAATGCTGCAGTTTCAGACAGGTGTGTTCTACCATGCCTGGTTTTTATGAAACTGACACCTATAATTGTGTCAGTGGGTATGGGGTGTGTACTTTTTTTGTAAATTTAATATGAAAACTAGTCAATTTAAATTCTTCCTCACTGGTATTAAATTTGTTTTCTTTTCTGTGCTAGTTGGAGATGGAGGATGAAGACACGATTGATGTGTTCCAGCAGCAGACAGGAGGTGTCTACTGAAAAGGGAACCTGCTACTTACTCCAGAATTTTGTTATAGACCAAGAATACATTCTCAATTAGAAAACGGCAATTTGGTTCCACCACATCCTGACTACTACAGTATAGTTTTCTCTATTCTCTCATTTCCCTGCCCCCATTTCCTTATTGTACATAAAGTAACTGGTGTATGTGCACAAGCATATTGCTTTTCTTTCCTTTTCCTTTTTTAAACTAAATGGCCAATGTTCTGTTTTGGTTGACATCAGATGGAGATGGTCGGGGAAAGTACTGGTTCTGTGAAAATCTCCCCTTTTCTCCATTAGCGGCATGCTCATTCAGCTCTTATCTTTATATTCCAGTAAGTTATTTTTCTCTCATTGTTTTAACAAAAGAACCCGACAACATAAAATCCTTGCATACCTTGTTCGATTGGAGAATTTTAATGTTTTTCATTTATCATTGTAAAACCAAGGACAATTTTATAACTTTTTTGTACGTAGCTGTTACATGTAGGGCAATCTGTCTTTAAGTAGGGGTAAATTACTCTTGAACAAAATGATCCTAGATAGTTTTCCCTTCAAGTCAAGCGTCTTGTTGTTTAAATAAACTTCTTGTTTAAAATGAGCTGTTCTCTTTATTCTGAGGCATATTAAATAGAAATGTTGCTTAAGTCCATGTGTGTTGGCTCACACCTTTCTTCCCAGCACTGGGCAAGTAGAAGCAGGAGGATCTTTTCAGAATTTGAGGCTAGCCTATTCTACATAGCCAGTTCCAGAACAGCCACAGCTATGTAGTAAGACCCTAATCTCAAAAACAGCTAGAGGAAAGCAAAGTCAGGTGTGGTGTCACGTGCCTTTAGTCCTAGTACTTGAAGCAGAGGCAGACAGGTAACTTGGAAACAACCTGGTCTACATGCTGTGTGGTATGTGTGTTTCAGGCCAACTGGGCCAATATAGTGAGCTCTTAATAAAGGAAGGAGAGGGCTTAGCAGTTAAGAACCTAGCCCCCATCTCACAACTAATTCCAGCTGGGCAGATCTGACACCCTCTGGCCTCAGGACCAAATAAGCAAGTGTACACAAAAATCTTTACATAAAACATCTAGACATATCAGGTGACTAAAGCCAGGGACTTGGGGGCAAATATTATGCCTCAGATGTGGAGGAAAAATTTCTTTTAGGGTTGTGTCATCCTGCAACTCACTATGTAGAACAGGCTGGCCTAGAACGCATCTGCCTCCTGAGTGCTGAGATTGAAGGTGTGTCCACCACACCTTGCCTTGTTTTTCCACACAGGGTTTTTCTATGTACCCCTGGCTGTCCTGGAACGGAGACCAGCCAGTCCTTAAACTCAAAAGAGTGATCCACCTGCCTCTGCCTCCTGAATGCTGGGATAAAAGGTGTGTACTACCATTGTCCATTAAACGTTTTGTTTTGACACAAAGATCCCAGAGACCTAGGTGATGGCTCAGTGAGCAAACTGCAATGCCATCATGAGGACATGAGTTCAAACCCCAGCTCTGGGTCCATTTAAATATTAATCTGCCTGCCTCGACCTCCTGCGTGCTCTTGGCCTATTAAATTTTTTAATGTACTTTATTTGTTGGTACCTTTAAAAGAGACTTATTTACGTTTCTTACATCTCCCTACTCTACCCCAATCCTTTTCAACACCCCAACACCAAGTAGAGAGGGTTAGTGGGAGAGAGGGTGCAGTTGTTTTAGCTGCTTCCTGCTGGTCAGGGTCATCAGGTTCTTCTGAGCTAGTCCAGTCCTCGTTTCAGGAGATCTCCAACTTGTCTCACAACAGCAACCAGGAGCAGCCTTGTTCTTTCTCTGAGCTCCATACTCTCTGGGCTCTAGCATTTATTTTTTCTCCAGAGTCCTCAGATTTTAAACTATCTGCAGCTGGCAAAGAGTGCCTCTCAGAGCCCAGTTGAAGCAAATAAGTACTACTGTGGACTGTCTGAATCTGTCCCACAACCTATACCTGGGACCAGACAAAACGTTTATGTCTACATTTTCTCCATTTTTTTTAAAGGGCTTTTCTTTTAATACAAACGAAACTTAAACCAAACCCTTTTGGATTTTTTTTTTTGATGACCTGATGACTTTCTGCTGCCCTTGTCTGGATCCACTCGTACTTTTTGTTTGAGCCTTGAGCTAGATTCTTAATAGCCAGAAGTTACCCAGATGCTCTTGCAGAGAATCCAGTGCTGCCAGAACCTACGTGTTTTTGTTTGTTTGTTTGTTTTTAACACACTAGCCATTGTAAGCTTTGAGACCGCATTGATGATTTCAATATCTAAAACTTCTGGCGGCTACTGGGGAAGCTAATGGTGTTCATCTCTTAACCTGAGACTGCTCTGGCAGCTCAGTTTGCTCAAGATTAACGTGTTTTCTTGAAACAGGCTTGTTGCCTTTAACCCTTTCAGCCTGTACAGCATTCTGCTCTTCCCGACTCCCCAGCCTGCCCTCAGAGGCTGTGGGAACTTGACAGAGAAAGTGTGGAGAATTCCGGCTCTTAGTTACCAGGCATTCTCCCTTTACCTATGAGCTTTTTGCTCTCTAAGCATTTCAACCTCTACCTGCTAATTTTCTAGTTGCATTGGCAACTCTGCAATCTTTTTCTAATTATTCAGCCATTCTAACATTTCTAAAAAATGGAATGCAGGAAGACAATGAAACAAAACCAGAGAATCCCCTCTGGGAGTAAAGCAGGAATGAAACCAGTAGCAGCAAACCTTATGCTCCTATCCTGAAACTGTATATATTTTCTCAGTGCCCTACTGTATGCTATTACTCATTTTAAGCCTGACGTTTGGGCACCATTTATTGGTGCTAGCTTTTAAAAAACTTATTTACATTTCTTTTATCTTTTTCAACCTAATCCCTTCCAACACCCCAACACCAGGTAGTAGAAAGAAAGGGTTAGTGAGAGGGGGCACAGTTGTCTTAGCTGCTTCCTGCTGGTCAGGGTCATCGGGTTCCTCTGAGCTAGTCCAGTCCTCGTTTCAGGAGATCTCCAACTTGTCTCACAGCATCAACCAGGAGCAGCAAGAGCAGCCTCGTTCTTTCTCTGAGCTCCATACTCTCTGGGCTCTGGTGTTTATTCTGTCTCCAGAGTCCTCAGATTTTAAACTATCTGCAGCTGGCAACGAGCTCCTCTCAGAGCCCATATGAGGCTTAACAGTCTGCTGCTGTGGACCATCTGAACCAGTCCCACATCCCACACCTGGGACCAAAACAGAAACATGTTTATATCCACATTTATTTGTGTGTGTGCATGAGTAGGTATGCTTGTGCCGCAATGTACATATCAAAGGACAACAGGCCAGGGTTAGTTTTCTGCTATATAGGTTCCTTGCGACAGACCTTTGTGGCAAGTATCCCTACTTGCTAAGCCCTCTCACTGGTCCATTATTAAATGTTCATAAAAAATTGTTAGGCCGGGCATAATTGACTGCACCTGTAATCTTAGCACTCAGGAAGCACGTCAGTCTGGTCCACGTAGGATGCAAATTCTCGGACTGCTAGAATTACACCATCAGATACTGTGGTGCAAAGGGGACCGTGTAGAGCTGTACGTGGCTGATGTTTGTAAGCTCAGCAGTCCAGGAGGCTTGGTTTAATAGAGTTTAGTGAGGATCAGCCAGGGCTGCATGGTGAGGAGCTGAAACAACACCTCCTAAAAATTATTGTTGGTATGGTATAGTTTTAAGTTTGAGTTGGAGTTTAGGTCTGTATTAGAGTATTTATCACAGGAAGGCCAGCCTAGGTTTGGGCCTCAGTTGACTAAACAATGGAAATTTAGGCCCAAGAATTTCAATTTTATAGTATTCTGCACCAAGCTGTGCAGGGCAGCCAGAGACGTAAAATCTGTCTCTAAAACGGCTGAAACAGTCTCCGGTACTCAGTGCTGGTCTGTGGCTTACTGTGTAGCTGATGATGGTTGTCTTCCAAGGAACACCATGGATTAAGTGTGTACCACTTATTCAAGCCGAAGCAGGCCTTAGACAAGAAGAAGTGGTACACACTTGTCTAGGGCCTGCTTCGGCTTGAATCCAGTGCTTAGCGACTGCTAGTCTATCAGGTGATCTGCATCCCCAGCCCTTTTTTGGTTTGTTTTTTTGTGTAGCCCTGGCTGTCCTAGACTCACTTTGTAGACCATGATGGCCTCGAACTCACAGTGATCTACCTGCCTCGGCTTCCCTGAGTGCTGGGATTAAAGGCGTGTGCCACCATGGTGGGCTATCCACATCCCTCCCTTCTATTTATTTGTATTTCTTTTTTTGGAGGTAGGAGGTTGAGACAGTGTCCACTATGTCAGCCTGGATGGCTTGGAGCTCACTGTGTAGAGCAGCTGGTCTCGAACTCAGGGAGTGCTTGCTGTTATGTGACACTTCTTGGGGAGACAACACATCCCAGATAGGATACCCACAATAGACCAAAGTATGGAAGCCCAAAGTAACTTGGTGAACTGGTGAGGTTTGTTTTTGTTTGGTGTTCCGAGACATGGTTTTTCTGTCCTGGACTTGCTTTGTAGACCAGGCTAGCCTCGAACTCACAGACATCCACCTGCCTCTGCCTTCCACCAATGAGTTTTATAGGATATGAACTTTATTCATATGTTATGGGATACGGGTGAGGGGTTGCTTACAGGAGCAGAAATGACTCACCAAAAGCCCACCCACATCACAGGTTACAGCTCACAAACCTGGAATAGTGGAGCAGCATCGCGCAGCACAGCCACAGGTTCAGAGGGTCCTTTCTAGGTACTTCAGTTCTAAACCTTCTCCAGGCAGTGGACTGTTTGCTGCTTTTTGCAGTTGGGACTCAAGAGTCTTTGCAGTTTAACGCATTCTGAGAGGGACTCTCAGCTTTCATGGTTTACTTGGGGAGGGGCAGTGACTGTTGAATTTGGTCAGTTTCAGGGATTTCCTGAAGCTGTTTTAGACTTGTTTACCATCCAGTTTATGTTTCAATCTCAGAGGAAACTAACCTAACAGTACTTCAATCTCCCGAGCATTGGGATTACCGGTGCAAGTCACTTTACCCAAATAGACATTTCTTGATTGTTGCTCTATCAACAAGAAAAAAAGAAATACTCTGGGAGATAGGCTGCAAGAGAACTGAGGGGAATGCTAGGAAAGTTTGGGTGTTTTGTTTTGTTTTAGCTTGAAAGGTTATGTTTCAAGTGCCATGTTTTGTTTTGTTTTTTTAACTATTAAAAACTGCATAGTAACGTTGTCCTGCTCACATTAAGAGATGGCTCAGCAGTAAGAGTGCTTGCGAAGCAACCATGAAAACTGTGAGTTTGGATCCCAGCATCCACATAAACTAGAGGTCTCGCTCATGCCTGTAACCCCAGCAATGGCAGGGCAGAGTGTAGTGGGGTAGAGATAGGAACAGGGAGAGGACTTCATCGTAGTAAAAAAGACATTTGATGTGCTCTCTTTTGCATATATATATATACTGATAATCTGAGTTGCATGATTCCTGGAGCCCACATCATGGAAGGATAATTGATTCCCACAAATTGTCCTCTGAACATCACACATGGGCCCTGGCATGCATGTGTTACACAGACATACATGGAAACAAAAATCCATACACGTGAATACATT